ACGTCAACTACGTTGAGCAGTATAAACCCAGGATGAGTTTCGTTTTGAACCAAAACGACGCAGACCAACAAAATAATTGCGACTCGCGATTGTTGGAGATCTCCCTGCTTACTAAGGAAGTTTCGAAAGGCGTCTCAGCATGATCAACTGAAGGCCTTTTTCAGTGTTTTCGCTTTCGATTGCGACATCCTCCTATTTCTGAGGGCTGTGACATTCGTCCCCATGAGGTTTTTTCATCCTGTTAACCAGGTGGTGACTCCTCTTCCAATGTCTCATGGCAAATTATTTTTTGATAAAATCTGGGCAATGTTTGGTCCTGCAGCCCCCCTTGATTGATGCTACATGGTTAGCTTTCTAAAAAATACTTTGGTATATGCGAATACGTCGACTTTACAGACATCACGTATTTGCATCTTTCTTACTACTTTAATCCAGCGTGCGACTTTGCCATGGGGGCAGGAGGGCTTTTACGCCGGCCTCGGTTAATCCAGTTACCAGTGAAGGCGCGCTTCCCTCCGCGTGGTTCGAGTCCTGTTTGCGCTCTTTTCATTATCCTAATCTAGCCTGTGGCCAAGCAGACTTGCAAATAGCATTGTTCTGACGGTGTGGTACTCCGTAGGGGTAACAATCGGGAGATGGCACCCAAAAAAATCCGCCTAACCAAAGCAGCCTGTCTTACGGGACAGGTGGCAATAGGCGTTTTATGGGTGGTGGCTGGTCGGGATGTACGATACTAGCCGACAGAAAGGTTTATTTGAACAGGTGACTGATTGAAGTTGGCCCGCTCTCTGTTCCGTTACTACAAAATGGGTCGCCAAAGGCAGTATAGTAGTAACGGACGAGTAGAAGGGTTATAATCGTCTTCCCTCAGAAGGTTATCTACATTTCTCTGTTAACCACTCAAAGAACTTCAAGGACCCTACCACCGGACGGCACACCAATGCCATTGAGGCATACAGGAGTAGACTGAAAAGGAAACTCCCGAGGGAGGCCCTGTATGTGGTCGAGATGTGTGGGCTCACATAGGCGACGTACAGTATCGTCTTTGGTTTGGCCTGAATGCCATGTCTTTGACAGATGCCTGGGAACTGTTCCTGTCCCATGTTGTGCAGGCTTATCCTATTTAAAAGTGATTTTGTATTGTAATAAACTGCCATAATGCGAATGTATCCCGTATATTCAGGTGTATATGTGTAACGATGGGGAAGGTTGGGTAACAGCGACCATCGTCCATGTAACCTCCTGTGATGTTCGTTCGGCCAGCCCATGTTAGGCCGTCGCGGAAAGTCTAAGTGGTGCGGGAAAGTAGGCCTGCAACCGCTGATATAGCCTGAAGGCATTTGAGTCCACTGTTAAAGATATTATTTCTAGGTAACGAATTTTTTTGGGTGCCATCTCCCAATTGTTACCTCCGTTGGTCCCGCTTCGGTGGCCATGCACTGCGAATTACCACGCGGAACCCTCAGCGACCTTCCAGTTGTAACTGCGCCCCCATATCCTCTTAATCCAACTAATGGCTGCATCGGGGGGAGGAGACGTACACACCACCTCCTCTCGCTCCCCTACGCGCGCTTCGAGTTCTGCTTGCGCTCTCTTTCCCTTCCTAATCCAGAAACTGAATAAGTTATGTATGTTAGCTAAGGATTTTCTATTTAGCTATACATGTAGTATAAATCAAGTAGGGCTGCAGAACCAAACCTCGCCAAAATTTGCAAATTCATGCAGATAATAGAACGCCATCTAAAACGAGGGGGGTTGAGATGGGCATTTCTGATTCATAAGCTTTTATAAGCCGGTGATAAAGAGCCTCAGGATTGGATCGCCTGGTTTTCGAACCGGAAGTGTATGATAATGGAATCGAATTCTCTACCATTGAGCCCCGGCCCGCTGTTTCGTGGGTTTACATTCCTACCATATGTTTCAGCTCCTAATTTATTGATTTAAAGATGTCCATATTGCCTTGACGTTTTTCTTCTACTTTGGTGAAGAAGTAGTTGCCCATTTTAGAAGATGTCTTTCTGTTTCTTTTAATCGATACTGTTCTATACCGACGGACACGATAAAAGAGAAAGAAGGCAGGTTCTGGAGGCAAACACGCCTGCGACACGAAGAGTTACAACTCGTCAAAAAGGCGTCTTATTTATGTTGGCCCCAGTGTGTTCTGGAACGTTCCGGCCAATGGTGTGCCAGCTGTTGAAAGCGTTCAGAACGATCCTACCTATTGCGTGCCGGTCGCGGATTGGCCATCGTGTGCGCGGGAATCCCCCGCGGAAAAGTCGCGAACGTTCTACCAGCCATTGATTGGGCCGCACGCATGAGCAAAGCCACCACACTTGCTCGGCGCTGCAGCGCACGCCGGTCGGCTGTCTAAATTCATGCGTGTATCCCGGCGTCGGCTAAGTCCTCAGTTCAGTGCATCGTCTAGGCTTCCTTCCGACTTGGGCCGCAACTCCAGGTCGCTTACGATCTCCATAACAGATACGGTATTTTGTCGAAGCTAAAATAGGTTACTAGTCAGATTCTTGACGATGCAGCCTACAACTCCACTCCGCACTAATCACTGTGAAAGTATTCTGTCCACTTGGGGGTAAAAATCTCGGTCTGTGCCTATAGACCTTGAATAAACTGATCTACGCCAAGTTCGTAGATAATTTCTGAGGAAATTAAACAGCAATGTATTCTGCCGAATCCGGGCGTGGCTTTCATTCACGTATCCGCGACCAGTTACAGCATATTTAACATAATTTCCAAAACATGAACAAACTCGAATCGTGGAATTTAGATTTGACTTGTTAAAAGAATAGAAATTCCTTTTTTAATAACATTCATTTTATTTACTGGTCAAGGCAAAGGGAGCACGATCGCTGGAGCAAGGGCTTTATTAGCCTGACGCTTCGGATTCTCACTGGAATCCATCATCAGAGACTGAGTCAGATTAAGACGGTAAATCTGCAGGTGTTCAAATATATATGGGATGCAGTTGCCAGGCCGCTACGTTTGGCAGTTGGCAGCTCTCGAGTGCATTGTGGCTTGACTGGTCAGTTGTTGAAGTATGCAGTTGCCATGTTGTTGTTATGCGCCTGGTTTTCGTTCAATATTATCGGCACCCGCGCTCATCCCACGCAGTCGGGCTACTGACTACCGGATTTCGTCTTCCACGTGGGCTCTTGGGCAATTTGGCCCGCCGACATTGGCATCAGGAACAGTGGTAATATTCTCCCCACGACTGACTACCTTGCCTATGCGAAGTCTCAGCGCCGAATCCGGAGAGGCGAAGTGGTTGCGTTTGTTGATAGATTAAGGACCGAAAATCCATGACCAGAACGATTCACGGCCCACACGGTTGCCGTCTCCAGCAAGAATTTCAGCTTTATCAAACTTAAATGTGGTTGGATTCCACCGAATGAGCTGAGACTTGGGAACTGGTGTTGTCCCTCCTCACTTCTGTTGCATGCTCGGACATCCGCGTCCGGAGTAGTCTTTCGGTTTCCCCCAAATATTTGCTGTGACCACAACTGCAGTAGAGCCGGTAAACCACTCCACATGTTTCTTGTCATTGCAATGGGTCTTTCAGCCTAATGATCTGGTGCCTTATTCGTGCCTCCGGCTTGTGTGCGACTCCAATTCCGAGGGATGTGAGATGGTGGCTGGTGGCTTTCGAGACATTCGTCACACACGGGAGTGTCCGTTAAAATTTGGGACCGGTTTGATTTCGCCTTCTGATTGAGAATCTGTAACGTCAGGTTAATAAAGCTCTTGTTTCAGCGATTGCGTCTCCTTCTTCACGAGTTATTTTACTTTCATCGCGACCAGTTTGATTGGAATGTTTAGAGAGATAGCTTCAAATTATAGCACATTATCCTCTTTTTGTCAGCCCTGCTTCGCAGCATAAGTTGTTCGAAGTGGATGAATGTTTTTGGTGATAAGACCGACAACTAAATTTAATATGGGACCCAGCTAATGACCAGTCGTTGCATTACTCAGTAGTTCCTCGGTAGCATGATTTGGGAAATATTTTCGACAAAGACTAACACCCTGCGGGGTGTGGAGTAACATAGGAGTCCACTTCATTCTAAAAACTTTTGCAACTTCAATAAACTCATCAATTCTAATCAAGCACATGCATTCTGGCTTCAGAAAGTCGTCAAAGTATTCAATAACAGAACGCTACGGACAGCTGGACTATATGGAATCTCACTCGCAACCGAATAACCATAGGTTTGCGCGCTGACGAGTACTCGCCGTTCTCTAAAAATGGATCGGAACACCCAGGTAGAGGTTGGCCCCTCAAGATTCGAGGCTTCTACTGCGGTTCGCCTTCCTCTTCTTCCAGGGGAAAACTGTTTGGCAGGGAGGCATGTCTCTCAAGGGTTATTTGATCAAACTTTCTTCTGCGTTCGGCTGCTTGCATCAGTGCATACTTGTGCGCATCGTAGCTCCACAGAGTGACGATGGTCCAAACGAAGACGAGTATAATAGACCAACCACCGAGGAAGGTAAGACCAACGAATGTATCCATTTTCGAAGGAAATCGATACCTGGGCTTCTCTACCTTCAGTCGGAAGGCGATGAAGGCTCTTTTCTGCCACTGATGTTTCAAACGAAGGTCTCGTCTATAGCAGTTGTAAACACCTCCATCCGTCAACCTCACAGTTCTAAAGTGCAGAGCGCAGGTTGGAGTGAGATATACCCTTTCATCAATGAAGGACTTCAGCATGAAGGTCAGGTTGCTGGCTTCATATTTCCACATAATTTCGGCCGTCTGCATGCTATCACACCTGAAGGTGATCTCCTCGAACTCACCTCCGCATAACAGCTCGTAGCGCTCGGTGTTCTCAACGACGACCTTCTCGGTCTTCATGTAACGTATATCCTCAAAACCAAGAATTTCACTCTTCATGGCCTGAATGTCTCCAGCTATGGCCATGTTTATGATCTCAAGTGGGTCTAATTCGGGACACGGGAGTTCAAATTGGACACTTGCGTAGAGATTCTTTACGTGGTAGGGCTTTGGCACGCCGGGTGTCAACTTGAGATGCTTCAAGTAGGTGTAGTGACATGGTAGAAATATGTGGCTTTCGTTCATATGCATGTGGAAGCCTAGTTCTTCCGCCTTATCTGCGGCATTCTGCCTTTCGGTCTCTCTCTGAGCGGGATCCGCTATATCCCTCCAGTCATGAAGGAATCCGAAAGCGCGTCTTATCAGCTCATAATTTATCCGCACATCGTCTGGCAGCTTTTCCAGTCTTCCCCTATCCATGCTAGCTGGAATCACCAGGAAACAGCGGCGATAGCGGGTGAGGTTGAAGGAGCCGCAGGGCTGATTAGGCTGTGGAATCGGCGTAAGCCTGGATGTGATGGACATCGCCTCGCTCGAGACATCAACAAAGGCGGAAGAGGCCATTAGGACTTCGCCCAGGTGCTGCATTATTTGTTCAATCTGACTGACAGAGTCTACGCGTTGGGGCTTGGTTAGTTCTTCCGGCAGACCAGTCACCTCCTCTGAGATGTCAGCAGAGTCCAGGGGCATGATCACATCCAGATGATACCAAATTCTATTGGTAAGGAAAAATTGATGGCTGCCTTTGCAGTAGTAGGTTCCAAGACATGTTTTCGGATCAAATTCCCAAATTATTAGGCTTCCATCCTCGGGGGCCATGCAGGGTTTCCGTTTTAACCCCTCACCGCCAAACTCTTCCCCGCGGGGTGGTATTAAGTCAACGTGGAGTGAAGAATTGATGCCATACACCATTGTGAAGATGGGTCTTTCACTCCGTTTGACTTTCGCCCAAACGTATTCACGGAGCTTCTCGCCAGGACAACTAAAACACCGAAAGTATAGACTACCTTTGAAGCCGTAACTAACGAGCATGACATGATGGCCGGCCATCACAGCATCCGACCGCTCGGAGTTACAGCTTGTGGTACTGACATTGGGCACCTTATTGGGCGGACAGTTTCCAAGGCTTGCTGCAACTGACTTTACCAAAACTAGCACGAAGCAATAAACGAGGAGCGTCATTCAGCTGCGCTCGGCGTGACATCGATTTCAGTTCTTTGAATATTCAAGGTCATGTGTTTGGGGTGAAGCTGTAACGCCCCACGATCTGCATAGGGTTGTTTGAATGAAGAGGCATTTTTGGCGCGCGGAACTAGGATAAGGATGACGTAATCGCGTGTTGGTGATAACTGCCGGTACCCTTTTCTCACCCTACCGACGACCCCCTCCACGCAAATTTCCGTGACGCTCTCAATGTCGATATCTCCTTCGGTTGCCCACAGCGCTGAGTTTCCACCGGTTGTCTATTGGCATGTCGGTTCTGCCTCGCCATCCAGACAGGTTACTTCCTTGCTGTAACTCGTTCCGTTTGTACAATTAACTATTATTATACATATTTCCTGTTTCCATCTCCGCCTATTATAACTTGAGTAAGTATTTTGACATGTTAACAGCTATATTCAGATGGATCTTAACCAGGATCTCTTGGCAGTGCTTCGCTAACACGGTGTGTGCTATCTTTAGCGTCGTCGGCCGCTACGGTAGCCGCACGTTTACGCATTTCAAAACTTAAGATGTAAAACAATGGCCGGTTAGCTGGCTTGTCACCAGAAATGTAATCTTAGTACAGTCGGTGAACGTCCAGAATTAATGTCATCGTTTAAAAGACAACAGGGGGTGTAAATGTACGCCATGGAACAGGGCTGTTTAACCTATCAAGAAGTCCTTAGCTACTGACATGGCGACTGCGCGAGGGAAAGTCGCAGTGGT